AACTTAGTGGCCTCCAGCAACACCCACTGATGAGCTCTCTGCACCTGTGCCAGCGCTAAGCCTGTGGCTGGTTGTCTGCTCAGGCTCTCCCCAGCCTCAAACCAAGATGCTGGCTGCACTCCACTCTCAGCTGGAGTTTTGGGTCCTCTTCACAGCTCACTGGATGGTATCACCTTCTCTTGCCTGGGGCGCAGCACAGGGCCCCTGATCCTGTCCTGCTGTCAGTGGGGGCTGCTCTCAGTTTCTAGAGGCTGCGGCTACCCCCTCCCTGTGACTGGCCTTCAAAGCCTGCAACAGAGAATTTCCCTTCTGTCAGTCCCTTCATTGCTTTGGATCTCTCACTTCTGTCTTTGATCTCTACACCCAAATTTAAAAGAATTACTTTGATAGAAATTTTTCAATATTAAGATTGACAGGTTTGGACCTTAATTACATTGGCAAAAATCCCTTTATAACAGCACCCATTTTAGTATTTGCCTGGATGAATAGCTGAAGATGAGTCTGTCCTGGGGCTGGGATTTTGGCGACCACCTTAGAATTCTGTCTACGGCAACATAGATTTTTTGAGTATAACTGCTTAGAGGTTATTACACATGATTGATTCAAGTCTCAGAAGGTAAAATTGTCTTATATGTAGTTTTATGTGTAAAACAAAGGCATGAGCTTAAATATACTTGAACACAAAGAACTATCAAATATGACAGAGTTTTAAAAATGTTCTGTCACTTAATTATTCTGTTCTGTGCCAGTACTTGCCAGCAAACTAGAAGCATCAGATGCCTTAGACGTCAGGAGATGTCAGGAACTGAAAGGAGGAAACTGTTACTTAATCTTTTCTACAAAATAGGTGTAGCGGCAGTGTGTTCTCATCCACCTTAAGGACTCCGACCTCTATAAGCCTATTGCTAGTGAGGATCTTTCTTTTCTAAAACTCATTCCTCTTTTGAAACAGTGTGGTATTACATGACAGAAAGACAGGTGCTAGTTTCTGATTTAGTCATTCAGTAGAGCCACCTGGCCCCAAAGTCTTACTTTCTTCATGTGAAAAACAAACCAAGGAGAATGGGCTATATGCCCTCATGACTCCTTTTTTTCTTGAGTCATGTGATGCTTGTAATCATGTTTTACATGTCATTATTTCATCTGGTAGAAGTGAAATTCATGATTGTCAAGTGATCATTTATTTATAGCATGTGCCTAACAAGATAATCCAAATTTTGTGTCTTCGTTGTGGTGGAGAATTTGATACAGCTTTGCTTGGTTAGCATTTTATGATTAGCTTTTTTGCAGACCCTTGTAATAAAACTGTGAAGCTTGGGATTATTATTTGTTTGGAACCAGAATATTAGAACTAGAAGTAATATTAGAGATTAATTAAATTATCTTATTTTAGCAGGAAAATTGAGACCTGGAGAATTAAGTGACTTGCCCAAGTTTGCACATTTGATTAAATGGCAGAACCATAATAGAAATCCAAGTCTCCTAACTTAGATCTGAATTCTTTTCACACATTATTTAGATTTTAGAGACTAGTTCCTGAAATATTTTTAACATAGCTTAGAATTTCACACACAGAGCAGCCAAACCACATAGCAGAATAAGAAATAAATTCACAAAAATGTAACTAAATCAGCTTCTCTCTATGGGATCTGAACAGCTTCAGGGAACAGTGATCTATGCTATTCAATTTATGAACATCCACTCCAGAAAGGGGCCTAGCGGGAAAGTCCTTACCAAGGATTGATTTCTGCATCCGATCATTTCTTTTTCTTTGTACTGCCTCTTCCCCTCTCCTGGCACTTCCCACTATCAGCTCTTGAAAATTATGCAGCACATGTCACTGTATTGTACAAAACCATTCCAGGGGATTCTGTGCATCCCGAGAGTTTGTAGTGTAATAAAAACAGTCTTCACATGCACATGTGAGTAAAATATGTGGAAGTAACTAAACACGTTCAGCAATCTGATATATCGCCAAAGCATGTACTAACCTAAAACGCATGTCCAAATGGATCCCATCCTTCCGATACACAGGCCGTTCGCACGCCAGTGTGATAGCAGCCATGGGGCCTGAAAGGGTATGTCATTTCATTCGTTCATTCTGTCCGTAGGAATTTAGTCTTTGCTTCCTGCTGTGCACTTGCTGCTAGCTTGAGCTGCCAAGATGAGTGAGGCTGCCTGGCTTGGTCCTAGCTGCTGCATTATGATCCCATGTATTTTTGCCTTTCTGCTCTGTTTTAAGCTTCCTTCCTTTTCCTACTTCATTTCTTTTCCAGTTACTTTTAACTTCAACTGTCCTGTTCTTTGTCATAATTATTTCTTTCATAAAGTGAACATTTTTTGATGTCAGTCATGGTGCATTAAAAAACAAATATGAGATTCCCTTTTTCAGGTTCTCATTTCATTCATTCATTCAGTTCATCCACCCATCATGTGTTTATTAAACATCCCTTGTGAACTTGCCACTATTCCAGTGCAAATTATAAAGCTGTCCCTAAGACTCCCTGTTCTCATTAAATTTCCTTTCTTTTGGTGAAACTGACTTATAAATAAGTTACCATAAAGTATTCCCAGCTGTGGTAAATTCAGGGCTGCTAAACACAGGTGAAAGGAAAGGAATGCTGTTTTAGGCATGAGCGATAGGGAAGGTAGCCCAGCAGGAACAGATTTTGAGTAGTGACCTGCAGAAAGCCACTGAGATGGAAGAGAGGAACTGTGAGAAGGGTTGGGGGGAGACAGCCAGTGCCAAGATCCCCAGAGGGTCCTGGGATTGGCCTGTGAGGAGCAAGGAGGCCTTGGTGGAATGAGGGACAAGATGGCAGTGTGGGCCCTTTTGGGTTAAAACACTTTGGATTTTAATCTGAGTATGAAAAGGAACTGGAAAGTTTTGAGGAAGGGAATAAGGCTACTTTGAGTTTTTTAAAACCACTTTAATGATTGTGTAGAGAAGTAAATTAGAGGGAGGAATAAAAACGGAGGCAGAGAACAGATGAGTGGTTTCCACAAGGTTTGGGGAGTAGGGAGAACAGGTGAGTGGTCACTTGCATGGTGTTAGCTAAGAATTTGACTTGGTGGTACTCCTGGTATGGTATATGCAGATGTCAAGTTGTGCTGCGCACGGAAGAGCACTGTTAGAAACTAATATTAGCCCGATGAAACATTTTTTAAAACAGACAGGGAGACCAATCACGAAGCTGTTACAGTAGTGAGGTGACTTCAGGGTGTTTCGGAAGAGGGGTGGGGACAACTGGGAGGTAAGGAGTGGTGGGCTTAAGGTGTATTTTGAAGGAAGGAATGATAACTTTAGGGCTGAAAACTTTAGTTTTCTTCTATTGTGACAAAATAAAAAATTTCACAAAACAACAAATCTGTGAGGATTTTATTAAGTGTCCTTTTCTTATAGGCATTTTTTCCTTGTCTTTTACCCCTTCTCCACTTCCTCACCTTATTGCACATAACTCATCCCTCTTTTTTTTTTTTTTTAAATTTGGGATTACTTGCATTTAGCTTGGTATATGTATTCCTCTTTTCCTTTCTTCCAAAGCCACATTTTATGATTTAATGACTAAAAAATTAAAAGGAGAGGCAGTAATTAAACTTGATCTTGTCATATATGTGAACTGTTCGGGGTGGGGGACGACGGTTGTTTCTGAAAAATACTTGTTTTGAAATAATATGAAAGAAAGTGAAATTTAAGCATTTTCCTTTCTCATAAATATAAAAGGTGCAACTTAAATTACCATGTTTCTTAGATGTAAGGTCTCATTTTTTTTTGTTAAAAATTCAACATTGTTTATTATGTGGTTTAAAGTAGTAGTTTTCTTTTTTTTGAAGATTTATGTATACATATAGGACTGGGGTACAAGCCAGAGGTGTGGGGGGTGGGTGGGTGAGAGGATTCACCAGAGAGAGAGTGGGGAGCAGAACAGGTAGATTGACTGAAATAATAAGGAAAGGGCAGGTCAAGAGAGGTCAGCTTTGATGCCCTGGCTGGGGATCAAACTCATGCTGCAGTGACTGCGACAGCTTCACAGTGCTGCGCTATAACCCGTTGTGCCGCCAGGGAGGCCCCTAGAGTAGTAGCTTTCTAATTTTATTGAAATGTGTATAGAATGTTAACAACCGCTCCTCTCCCCCACCTTTTAAATTTTGATAGTGAAGCAACGGAAATTGTTCAGTTGGAATTAGCATGTCTGCTGGTACCTGTTAGAACTTGCCAGTTTAAAAGTTTTACCTTTGCCTCTGTTATGCAGGGAAGTGCCAGACACAGCTTCAGAGTGTGACTCCTTAAATTCTTCCATTGGAAGGAAGCAGTCTCCTCCTTCAAGCCTTGAGATATACCAGACGTTGTCTCCTCGAAAGATATCTAGAGATGAGCTCTCCCTTGAGGATTCATCCAGAGGAGATTCGCCCATCACCGCAGATGTCTCTCGGGGCTCTCCCGACTGTGCAGGCCTGACAGAGACCAAGAGCATGATCTTCAGTCCCGCGAGCAAAGTGTACAATGGCATCTTGGAGAAATCCTGTAGCATGAACCAGCTTTCCAGTGGCATCCCGGTGCCTAAACCTCGCCACACATCTTGTTCCTCAGCTGGCAGTGAGGGCAAACCAGCTCAGGAAGTCCCCACTGTTGCCCGGATAAGCAGCATCCCGCACGGCCTTTGTCATAATGGAGAGAAAAGCAAAAAGCCATCAAAGATTAAAAGCCTTTTTAAGAAGAAATCTAAGTGAACTGACTGATTCGATGGAGCTTCCATTCAAGTGGCATCTTTAAACTTTTGTCTCCTACCCCTCACCCCTTTTTTGTTTTAATTTTAGGAATGTAACTCCATGGGGGCTTTCCAGACTGGATGCCATAGTAGAATGTCCCTAAGGGCAACTGTCTACTGTCTGCTTATTTAAATGACTCTATAATCAGTTTGTCAAGCCAGTTATTACTGAAAAATCATAAAGAGATGAGACAGTTTACAGTCATTTCTGCCTATTTATTTTTGCTTTGTTATTAGTGATGTATATATGCAATATTTTGTTGAAAGCCACTGTGGACTTACACGCTTTAATGGACTGGTAAGCCAGCATGGGCTTGCAAAAATTCTTGTTTACCAGAGCATCTTCTTACCTTTCCACAGAGCTATTTACATCTTGGACTAAATAACTTTAAAGAAATAAAAACTAATTGCACTACTGTTTTCCAGACTGGAAAAAAAAATCTCTGCAAAGTGAAACTGCATAGAGTTTATAAAATGACTATGGATTGGGGACTGTTTTCATTTTTAGATCAAAATGGGTTTTTAAGTAGAACCTCGGATTTCTAATTGACTTGATTTCTGGAAATGAAAACCATGCTTTTATTATGGGAAGCTTCTTTAATGCATTTAATATTATAAAGTTTCAAGTCCTGCTGTAAAGATCATGTTGTCTTGTTTTTCCCAGGGCTTTCACTGTGATTTACTGCATTGCAGGCTGTATGATAAAACAGAAATAATTTAAAGAGAGAAGGCTCTTGATTCCTTATGCAAGTGGAAGAGTTGAAACTTGATTGAAGGACTTAAAACATTCGCAAGCTTAAACTGAGATGGGGAGATGTGGGGATTCAGGCACTTGTTTACAGACTTTGAATAACTGCAAAGGATTTACAGTTTGTGAAAAATTTGTACTGTGGCAAAGATAATAAATTGGAGACATTATTGTGTGGGACTGTGCTGATTTTTGTTGATAACACTCCACTGAAAACACTATGTTTTCTGATAAATTGTGTAAGCTGTCTTGTTGCAATATAAGAAATAGTGATGTTTTGGAAATAAGTTGTCAACAAATTTCTTTCTATTTTATATTGTTTGTCATATTTTTATGTAGTTTGAAATGTTTAAATGTTCTAATATCAAGATTAACAAATATAAATTTATGGTGCATTTAGATTGTGTTGTATTAATTTGTAAAGTGTGGGGTTGGCTATGAGCATAACTTTTACTGTGAAGATTGAGCAACTGGATCTGTTCACATCTGGGGAGTTTCTGATTAATGCCATGTGGGTGGATGTTTAGGTGAACAGCTGATACATACTAGCTAGGATGGGTTTTTAGCATCATTGCTAAAGTGCTTAATGCCTCACTCATACTGCTTAGATGGAAATGCTGATCCATAACAGGAAGTTTCTTTTCAGGTTGCCCCACAGGAGAACTGTGTTAAGAATATGAACAATTTCCTGAAGTCTTAGTACTGTTATTAAAAATTGTTATGATCTGAAATGATCGTTACATAGACTTATTTATATATTGAGTAGGCTGACTGCTCTGGGGGTAGAAATTGATTGAAACCAAGATAGTGTTTGGACTAGAAATAAGGTAATGCAAACGGTGAAAGAGTTGAGGCACGCAGACTCAAAAGCCATTCAGGAGTGGGGGGAATTTGTGTATAAAGCACTTGGAAAGTTTCTTTTGAGTGAAGGAGCATCTTTCTGCTTCCTACAACCTGGTGGAGGAGTTCTTCCCTTTGAAAATTTGCAAGAGGATAAGAAATTTATAGCCTGGTGGATAGAAAAGGTAAAAGCTGCTGGAGCGTGGAGGAAGCTGGAGGAGGAATGGTTCCAGGAGTTCCCAGCCACGCCCGCTGTGCACTCAGGATGAAGAGGGGATTCTGGCTCACATAACCTGGGCCCTACAAGGTGTGCCAGGGTGGGAGAGGTTCGCCTGAGTGGAATGTGGACCTTTTTTTTTTTTAATTTTATAACAGTTTATTTTTACATCATTTTGTACATTTTTTTTCTCCTCTCAATTGTAATCCCCGCGGGTTTCCCATCACCAAATCACCCCTGTGCCACCACCATAGTCCCATGCATTTCCCTCCCCCCCCCCCGTTTTTTATCCCATTCCCCACTCCACCCCCGCAAAATATCTCTGGTATATGGTTGTTCATTATTTTTGTTATTTTCTCGCCTGGTCCATTATACTCCTGCTATGAGGGAAACCATCTGGTATTTTTCTTTCTCTTTCTGGCCTATCTCACTAAGCATGATCTTTTCCAGCTCCATCCAAGTTGCTGCAAAAGACATGTGTTTCTCTTTTTTGGTTGCTGAGTAATATTCCATCGTGTATATGTACCACATCTTTTTAATCCAGTCATCTACTTTTGGGCATTTGGGCTGCTTCCATGTTTTTCCAATTGTAAATAAAGCAGCAATAAACATGGGGGTGCAGGTATCTTTTTCAATCAGTGTTTTTATGTCTTTTGGGTAGATACCTAGGAGTGGGATTGCTGGGTCTTAGGGAAGCTCCATGTTTAGCAGTTTGAGGAACCTCCAAACAGTTTTCCATAGTGGAATGTGGACCATTGTAAGGGAGCACATTGTTAGTGCCAAGTTTCACATGCTAGTTTGTAAACAGATTCAACCAAGGGAGATTTATTGCTTTATGTTGCCTATAATGCTTATTTTACATCAATACAATGCTCTATATTTAATTTCTGTATTACATCATTTACGTGTGAATAGCTGAACATTTCTATAATTTTTTAAATTTGCCATTATTTTGTCCTTATAAAACAATGATGTTTTCCTGTTTTAAAAGCTATACCATTTTGTAAAAAGCAATGATAGAAAAATAGAAGGAAAAACAATAGCAAGTAGGTGAAATTCTACTACACAAAATAATCACAAGAGTTTTGGGTGTTTTCTGCTAGATCATTTCCTATACATTGATACATATTTTTAAAAGAACTGAAATCATACTATATATCTTTCATGCTTTCTCACTTAATATAAGCATCTCTTAACATCATTAAAAACTTCATAAAAATAACATTTTAATTAAGACTGTAATATGCCATTGTGTGAATTTACCGTAATCTTTTCAGTCACTCCTTTATGATTTCTGACATGGAATAATAACATTTAACATCTTAGTTAATATGTTCTAAACACTAATATATTCCTATTTAATCTTTACACCAACCTTGTACGTCCAGTCTACCCCCATTCCCACCCTTTTCAAATCACCATTTCATTGCTGAAGTTTCTATACCAAGGAAGTGATTAAAGCCTGTTCTTCATGTATTCGTTATACCACATAAGTTCAACATTTTGATTCCTTAAAATACTTGTTTTTGGAAGTGTATGGAAAGGTAGAAAGGTAATAGTTTACACATGTGTATGTATCTACATACATAGTTACCGCCTCCAGCACTTGGGTGCATGAATGTCCTTTAGTTCACACATCATTTCTGAATTACCATTTTACTAAAACTTTGTTAATAGAAAAGTGAGATAATATTTGGTAAAGTTGGAGTTTTTTGTATTTATTTTTATTTCCAGAATTGTACTTTACCATTCTTGGAATTCAATGCTTTTCTAAATTCCTACACAGTCTTTCAAATGTAGTTATCTTTGTATTTATCAACTAAAACTGATTTTTAAAAATCTATTTTCCATGCTCATTGGGTAAGCAAAAGGAAAAGTTTTAGTTTTACTGGTGACCTGTTTTTTGTTTTTTGGTTTTTTTTTTTCTGAAGGTTTATTTATTTCTGCTTACAGAACTTGGGTACAGGCCAGAGGTATGGTGGATGAGAGGATTCACTACAGACTGAGTGGGGAGCAGAACAGGCAGACTGACGAAGTACTTTGCTGAGGGGAGCAGTGAGAGGGTCTGAAAAGGTCTCCCGCGCCATATGGGTCATCTCCATGGCAGGGGATTGAACTCTTGCTGAAGTGGTTTCGGAAAGCTTCATAATGTGATGCTTTAAACTATTGCGCCACCAGGGAAAGCCCTTGATGTCTTGTTTTTTAAGTCTTAAATTGAGTTTAACTTTGTCTATAGAGTTAAGGTGGATTTCTTCCACTTCCCCCGCCCAAAAAAAAAATTATAGGTAAGCTACAATTCAGAATGTGATTAATCTATTCATCAAATATATTTACCTGTTACTGTGACTGCTCTGGAGGTTTAGAGACCAAGTTGAAAGGTACCTGTCCTACAGGCACTTGGTATCTGACAGGGGAAACCAGTTAAGCAAAATCCTTGCAAGAAGGGAGAGTGATAGAAATATGAACCGAATTTGGGGAGATGGTACTTTATGAGGGGGTATTATGTAACTCATGAATTAAATCAAGATAATTTAATGCTGTCAGTTTGCTGAGAACTTGGAGGAATTTGGTGATAAACAGGCCAAAGGAAAAGTTAAGTTTTCAGGCTTCAGTTAAACTGCCAATTTAATTCAACAAAACCATAAAAGCTGTGGAGATTTCATTTGGGGCGGTATTTACCACAGAGATACAGCATTTGAGTAATCCCCATAAGCCCAGACAGTACTGATAAAAGATTGTTTCTGGACTCACTCCCAGCCCTGAAACGGGAATCTTTGAAAGCTACTCCCATTCTCAAGTACCCAGGGG